CTAATTCCGACCAATCAGCACCTCAGTAGGATATGACGTCATACAAGAATGGTGGTGAAGGCCGTTTGCAGTCCCGGCCGGTAGGTCACGTGACCGCCGGGCGCCTCGGGTCACGCGGCGGTCGGGAGTCGGACGCGGGGCGTGGTCGCGGGCGGACGCGCGGGACATCATGCTTTGCTTTGCTTGCTTTGTCAACTTCATATAACTTACTATCGCATTCGTGTGAAAGCCAAACACTGCTCAGTGCCCTTAGAAATTGAGTTTTGGAAAGCTCAAGTCCCTATAGCTCCTCAGGTCGGCAACAGTTGAAGCCTCATCTGAACCCATGTGAAAAAACGAGGGTAAGGAACCTTGTGTTGCTTTTTCTTTTACCGTCATAATTATCTCAAACCATCACAATTTTGAGTTGCCACATTGTCTGCTTCACTACATTCGTGTAAAACTTGGGTGAAGGCTGGTGGCTCAAAGAAAGGTGAAGATATTTCTTTAAGTGCCTAATCCGTGAAATTGAAATATCCCGGCTTTACAAATCTACACTTTTCATTTTCTCCACGATACATTTTTTAAAATTGTTTAAATTTTATCTACATTTGTTAAAATCGGGGCTTTGGTTTTGTGTAAACTAGATCATAAAGTTTATTATAGTTTTGTGTAACCTGATGGCTGAAGAAAATAGTAATTTTGCTAAAATGATGTGCGGAAATTTGTTGCTTTCCAAATCAAATTACTCATACCTATATTTCATTCAAAATTAGGAGGCATTATTACTGTTTTTTCTTGTAACATGAACTGAGTTTGGGTACGGTGCTCCGGAAACGTTGTGGAACTTTAAGCTAGCTAGAGCAGTTTCCATAAAAATTGTTTAGATAGTTGACATGGCTTGTTGACAACTCTTGCTGTTTCTAAAAAAGTGAAAAAAATATTTTCCTGCATTAAGCACACAAGGCATGTTATTCTCACAAGCTATCGAATGTGTGTGTGTGTGTGTTTTTAAGCTGTTTTTTTTAAGCTTTTAAGCTGTAACTTCAGTTACTTCACTTTAGAACATATTGCCCAGAATGCGTCACTGATCATGAGCTGGTATATCATATCATATGTAGCAAATACATAAATGAGAATAGTGTGTCATGAATTTTTGTGCATGCTTCTGGATCACCTGTAATTACATCAAAGGCTCGGCTCAAGAGTGTCCTGCCGACCAGCTTATGCCCAACCCTTTCTGTCCGCAGAACGTCGCCTGCGACTCCCGCACGCCGTTTGCCCCGGCCGTCCGTACTGGTCTTCGCGCTGCGAGCCGCGCTGGAGTTCGCGGCGGCGTCGTGGAGCTCCCATCGGGACGGCGTGTGATGCCCGCGTCGAGCTTATAAGCCGTGAGCTTCGATTGGCGGCTCACGCGGTCACCAGCTGTATGTACAGCCTCGGCCCCGACGACCCCGCTAATGGCCGAGACCGGCATACCCCCGGCATGGGTCCGCTGTCAGGCGCAGCGCTGGCCGCCCGCATGCTATGCTACTTTTGGCTGTATCGCTGCCCAGCGGGAGCGCGCTCCACGCTGCGGAAGAGGTACACGTTGCGACCCGACTGAGGACTGCAACCGGATGGTGACACGTCGGCCTCTGCGCCCTGGCCGGGGCAGGCGTGACCGACGTCACAGTGGAGGAACGCCCAAACAAGACCAGCCCACCGTCGGAGCAGCATGGAAATATCATGTTCTGCCTGGACGTCGGACCCGGCGGCCGCAGTGCACCTGCACACGTGCGGAGAGGGGCGCTGGAGGCTACTCTGGAGCTTCTGCCATTCCGCGGCGCGACTGCTGGCAAAACGGCGGCGATTGAGGCGGTTGGGAACAGCTGCAGCAATGGTGATGGCGGTGATGGCGACATGGCGGTTTGGGACTTCATCTCAGCGCGGCCGCCGCCCAGGCGCCGCTGCGCCCGGCTGCTCAGCCACCTACCGGATGGCGGGGTGGCCCTTACGGCCCTCACGCCCGTTCGGTCTGCGGCCACGTTGTGTGGTGGCGGTCGCGGGGTTAGCGGCGTTGGACTTCGTCCTTTATCCAGACTGCACCGTACCATCTGAACGGATGGATCTGCCAAGAAAGATGACATCCAAGGCGGCTATGAGGCGATCACAAAGCTTCACCGAGAGCTTCTCCTTCATGGGGCCGGCCGGCCGTTAAGTCGCAACACCGGCTGCCGAGTGCCAACAGCTGCGTGCGCTGGCGCCGACGCGTTGTGGGCCGCGCTGCTGACGCCCAAGCTGCGATATCAACCATCTATGAATAAGTGGCAGCGGTGGCGGCTTGTCAGTTGTTAACGTGCCTTAACAGACGTTGCGAATAGCCCGCGTTGGAATCGCATGGTTGGGAACACAACGCAAGTAAAAATGGGCTTCCTTGATGAACCTACTTTTTAAGCATTGTAGCCTTTGTAATTTTGGATGTTTTGCTGTAGATATTATTTTCTACATATATACTATATAGGCACTCACGTGCTTTAAATCGCGCAATGCAATTGAACCATGGTAAAGACAATGATAAATGAACTGAGAGCTGACATGCCCCATGCTTTGTGTGTGTATGTGTGTGTGTGTTTTTTTTTGTTTTTGTTTTTTTGGCGAGTCGATAAAAGTGGTTTTGGACACTGGATGAGTTTTTAGGGGTGTGGTGAGGGGGGATGTAATTCCACAGACCTTCTGTCAGATTCACTAATGCAGTAGGTCTGTGCGGTGTTTAGTTATCGGAGCATTCTTTGAAAGTCGTGAATAGGGCCACCGAGTACCTAAAGCCGTGATATTCCCCCACAAAAAAACTTCTTTTAAATAACCGGGGATAGGTACATGAGCAGAGTAAATGCTATTACGAACGCCTATCACAATGCTGAGCGAATAGGAAAATCCATAGATGGAGAATTGTGCCGCGTTACGGGTGCTCGGGCGCAGCCAATCCACCGTTACCCCAGCGGTGACCTTGACCCGCATCGTCTGTCTCGGCTCCAAAGCCAAACCGGCGTGGAATTGGGAGCGTTCGAGCACTCATGGTCCAGCGCAATTCTCCACCTAAATCCATTCCTGATACACATTTGCTTGCTCATAGTCATGTAACCCCGGTAAATTCACCCAACTTTCATATTGGTCGCTCCATAGACAGATGGCCACAGAGATCAACTTAAAAGGCCATTGTTGCATTCATTTAGTGGAGATCATTAAAGAGCCGTGACAGGCCACAAGTCGCGTGACATCATACGTGTAACGACCAATGACGTCGGCCTGCAAAACCCAATGGAAGCGGCTAGCAGCGTGCAGTAAAACAGGGCGCTGCTTTCTAAATGTCTGTCGTGCGCCATAAATGAATATATTCTTTGTAGCCTGGCAACTCAGTATCTTTTTTTAACTATTGTACTAGTATTTAATAATTTCATAATTTTGTAATTGTGCTTACGCTTTATGTTGATATTAGTGATAAATCCTTAGATAAAGTAAATCGATGTGATATTTAATAGAAAAATAGCAAACTAACGCACCATTCATTCGAAAGCTGGGGAACCTACTAAAAAGAACTACTAAAATTCCTGAGGAACTAAAGGATCAAATGGGGATTAAATAGATGCCTGCTATTCCGTCGTGAAAACGGCCAATATGTTTTCCAAATGGTCAGATAACTTTCGTAAGTACTTTCCCATTTTCTGCGGGGTATGGACCGCGGGAGGTATTCATGTTTCTGATGCTGCACAGCATGTATCCAGTAACAGCGAGCCACTGATGCGGTCTCTGGCTGTCAACTGTGCGCCACAATTGGCTCCGATGTGTTTTTCTGTTTCTTTTTGCACACGTCAAATACCTGAGGCGTTCTATCCGTTAATGTCAGAGTACGTATCATTTTCCAATGACTGAGTGAGTATATACGCTTTTACCTGCCTATCACTCGCTCCACTACCGTCCAATATAGAAACGGCTCGACCGCTGCATATATAAAACATAGGTAAGAATATTTCCAACACTGAATCCAAAGGGGCTGATGACCTGATGTTGGCAAGTTCGTAGTTTTAGCGTATTGGAAGACCCCTGCTCACGCATTCAAGATTGGTGATCGGGTTACAGTATTGAGAGGGAGAAGAGCGACTGACACATAATTTGCACCTAATTTGACCAAATCTGCACCAACTCTCTTTGAAAATAAACGTCATGAATTTGTTTCAGTGTTTTAATCGAAAATAATGTCCGGTAATTTGAAAAATGGGGTATAAGGAACCCAAACTGATACCTTTTAACAAACACATTGAACCTAATTTGACCAAATATGCACCAAATCTGCACCCAATCTACACCAAATGTGTACCAGATGGCCGTCGTGAGAACGGCTGTTGTCACGCACTTGTTTGTCGCTAGATGTCAGAAATAATCTCTTACAGGAGAGTAAATAGCATGCCGCGAGGCGGTATACAATATACAGGGTAGCCGTTCATAGAGATCCCGAGGAATGCGACATTACTTTATTTGATCTCGACTTTGGCGGCCGCTCCGCAGGAGGCGCTATTGATCAGCGCATACATAGAGCTCGACCGCAGCAGATTTCAGTCAGCGGCATACATAGAGCTCGACCGTAGCAGAATTAAGAAGAATGCAAGAACTATTAGAAGGGGAAAACGCCTATTTAGATAGTAGAAGGTTTATAAGCATATTCGAATATATGACGCCCATTCTCCCATTTTAGCAGCTTATTTTGGCTCGGTGAGGCTTCAAGGAGCATAAAGATTAAAGACGGTTGGAAAAGCCCTCTGATTTTACCGGTTGCCGCGCTAACCGCATCGTGCAAGACGGGCTCCGAAGGGCCCTCTGGGTGTCGGTAGCGGTGGATGCTGGATAGGTATATACAGCAGGTCGCCCCGAAGCGTCCTCTGGTAACCCGTCCACACTCCGGGACCTCGTCGTGCCGTCCCGACGCCGTACAGCAGGCAGACCGCCCTGAAGCTGTACTCGGGTAACCCGTCCACTCCGTACAGCAGATCGTCCTGAACAATAACATGCCCTGAAGCTGATCTCGGGTAACCCACCTACCCCCCGGATCTGGTCGTGCCGCGTCTGTACCGGTGAAAGTCTGCGTGCGCTCCGTGTTGTCTCCTCGGTACAGTGTGCAGTGGCGGGTCGGTCCGGTCAGGGTCAATGTCAACTACTACAGGTCAGGGTATAAATACCCGCCCCCGGTCCGGTGAGGCCGGATACTGGACCTGACTGAGGTCGGGAGAGCCACGCAGAGACTCAGGGACGTCACGATGACCAGGGTGAGTGAACAGGGGGCAGCTCCAACCACGCACTGGCAGATGCGGGGGATATGGACATTTCACCTCTCCTGGAATTGATGAAATTTTGGTGATATCTTGGCTTAGAAATTACTTATCTAACAGACTTTATATAAAGATTGTTAAATATTTGATCCAATGATTAAGGAAAGTGAAAGAAAGCGAGACCCGACCCTTCTTCGTTCCAACATGTTTGCTGAGTGTATCCCCGCCCAGTATCCCGGTGCTGGATCCGATAGTGACCCGTTCAAATTATTGTTTTTTTATGGAGATCATTGTCCATGATTGGTTCCAAAATGCAATAACAATGCAAAATAAATGTTTTGATCAGAATAACACAAAATAATTAACCTTGGCCCCAGTGGGGGGGGGGGCAAATGTTACCACCCTCTCGCGTTTTTTGCGTGTGAATAAAAAACCGCGGCGCGTAGCGCCGCGCCGCTTGGAGTACCTTTCTGTACATCAATTTTGGACAATGTGTGAAATATTTGACCCCATGCCATGTCAGGTCAGGTCACCAGATCAAGTTTAATGACCAAGCCAAAAAAAGTTTGCAATCATGTCCAGCCTGCAGTGTTTGTCAGAAAGGTTTTAAACTTGGTAGATTGCATGATGTTATGGGCGCCTGTAATTTGTATATCTATCGGCAGCTGCTCACGCTCGCCGTGTTCTGTCGACAGCTGTTCACGCTCGCTGTTTTCTGTCGACAGCTGCTCACGCTCGCTGTTTTCTGTCGGCTGCTGCTCACGCTCGCTGTTTTCTGTCGACAGCTGTTCACGCTCGCTGTTTTCTGTCGACAGCTGCTCACGCTCGCCGTGCTGCTGTGCCTGTCGGCACTGTCAGCTGCTGACGACAAGTCCGGAGAACAGACTGGAGACCTGGCTACCTCCGCTTCCTCCTACGGAAAGCCGTACGTGGACGTCGTGCCTACACAGTGTCCGTGAACAAACTATCGTCCCGGTGTAATGAAGCCCAACACCCCATGTTCACAAAATTAGTGCCTCAAATATGCTTGGTATGATTGATCGGTATGATTGTTTGACTTAACCTTCAAACAAGACGAGTACTCCTTTTTTTGTTCAAATTCACAAAGTGTTTCGCATCTCCAAATTACTTAACCTTCAAACAAGACGAGTGCTCCTCTTTTTATTCAAATTCACAAAGTGTTTCACATCTCCAGATTTTATGAATCTGCTCATGCTGTAAACCATACCCCTTCGAATATTTTGCAAATTTCACATTGCAATATTTCACATTTCTGACATAAAAAACATTTCCTATAATTTTTAACAGGGTATGATTAAATTTAAAAATGACGAAGCGAATAATGCTAGGAGAGAGAAGAGAGTTTTGTCACTCCGAATAGCCTATTATTGCCCCCTAAACTTCATTCGAAACCACCCATACATATGCACCCTCGTTTTGTGTTCCAGGACATACGTAGGAATCGGCCACGTTTCCACCCATGCCCACGGTACCGGGTATGGGGGATACGGCCATAGCGGATACGGACACGGTGGATACGGTGGATACAGCGGATACGGTGGATACAGCGGATACGGTGGATACGGTGGTCATGGAGGGTAAGTGAACGCATTTAGGTATCTGTAGGTATTGGTAATATGTCTAATTACACGGCCAGAGGGTTGAAACGTCCCAGACGACATAACTAGGCTGCCGGTATAATTTTAGATTTCGATGTAAACTTTTAATATAAACTGTCATGTTCCCTGTTTGTTGTTCAGTTCTTGAGGCTTTATGTGCTATTGGTAAACTGATAATCTTTATTACCTAATGTTTTGATTTATAAAATAGTTATCTATAAAAACTACATAAATGTAGTTCTTTATATATAAATATTTTTATATGTATATAGAACATATACAAGTACACAAATAAATACCTATACCTACACAATTCAAATACCTATCACAAATTTGTAAAAAAGGTTAAATATAATTTTTGAGACACGTTGTCTTGTTGTCCTTTTTTCAGCTACGGCGCCTACGTGGAGCCGGCGTACGGCCACGTCTGGGGCCGCAGCTACGGATACACCGTGCCCATTTACGGATACGGATACGGCGGAGGATACGGCGGAGGATACGGCGGATACGCCGGCGGGTATGGCTACGGCCGGTAAGTGCTGCCATCTATCACTGGGCTAGTGCTGCCCTCTATCAGTACGTCAACGTCAGTGCTGCCATCTTAGTGGTTGAAGTGGTGTCATCTGTATATAGATAAGTGCTGCCATCTATCGGCTAATGCTGTCACTTGTTGACAAATGGAGAGCTAGGCGTTTTGAGGTTTCTTCGTCGATCCATCGTTCAGAGTCTGTGTTCTCCGTTCGAGTGACCGTGTATTGGGCTGTGCTGCCGGGGTTACTGAGGCGAGCCACTGACAGCGACACTTGTACTCAGCTGAGGGGTGCCCTATCAGCTAGGTGGTCGAGGTCGACTCAGCGTCCTAGATGGCCTCTAATTCGCCCAGCGCTGACAGTCTTACAAGATCACCTAAGCCCTACCAAATAAAACGAAAATTGTATATGTGTCTTTATCTGTGTGTTTTATTTATAGATGGACGGTTACGCGATTCCAAAGCCTCATTCAAACGATATCTGACTTTCAATAAGCATTGAGCGACCGTAGGCCAAACTGTAGGCGAGCTAGACCAGCTGGGGCGACTATGCCTTCTACAAATATACCTATTCTCACCTCCGTTATCCATTGAATTATAGCTGATACCGTTTCTCTTTTCCCAGGTATGGCCACTGAAGCTGTCATCAGGTCAGAGATGGTGTTAGGCGGAGGTGGACCAAATATACGTCCCTGTGTCAACCTCTGCCAATGACGCAGCTCTACTCCAATGACGTCATTTTTGCTCTCCGATAACGGGAGCTGGGATAGCTGAGTTAGAAACTCATCCAGGAAAGGACGCACTGTTTTTTGCTGTGTTCACCGTCCTGTGTTTATTGTTGTGCTTTTGATGTTAGCGATCTATTTAGCCGTCGTAAAATGATCCGCTACTGTCGATGAATAGCGGTCTTGTAACTGTGATTTTCTGATCATGAACGCCAGGAACAATTTCATGATCGTGTGGTGACATGTGAGATAGTCGGTATTTGGAAACTATGTGAGTAACTGCGGCCAGATCTGATCTGCCACTTTTTGTGCATGGATTCTTATAACCAGACGGTGCTTTGTAGTTGTATTGTAATAGTTCGCTACGCCTCTGCTGCTATTTCTTGCCACGTTACAAATGTCTTTCTAATATAATGTTTAAAGTTGAATATTATGATAATTGGTACCTAACAATGGCCGGAGGCAAACAACTTTAAAGGAATACAAAGGCTTTGCTCAGTCAAAACTTAGTGAATTCATCAATCATTTACCAGTCATTGCAGTCACGTTAACCCGCGCCCTGGTGAGGTCTGTTTATAACGCGACCTGGTGGGGGGGGGGCTATTTTTTGCCCCCCCCCCTCGTATCTCCGAAACTACTGGACGGATCCGCAAAATTCAAACGGCGTTCGAAAGGCCTGTCAAATTTGTTGAGGGAAACCAAATTTCATTGACCTCGGGGTCACCGATGACGTCACAGGTCAGGTCAAAGATGACATGTTTCACCGATCACGGGTCATCTAGGAAATGCGCTATAACACCGAAGAAAACGCATTTTGTCTAGAATCAGCGATAGGGCGTCAGTTGCCTAGTAGATATGTTGCTATTAGAGGTCACTGACAATACCAGGTCAGGTCACAAGTCAGGTCATCAAGGGTCACAAGTCAGGTCACATGCTAAGTAACTTTACCAACTTTACTAAGGTTGTGTGATGCATGTTTTATGGCCAATTTTTCATTTCCAACTCAATGGTGTTGGTTATAAGATTATCAGGTACGGCTTAGGTCACTTTCTGGTGAAGTTCAGGTCAAGGTCAGGTCAAGGTCAGGCCAAAAAAGGTCAAATTTTAAAGTGGATAGTTTTGCATAAAATGGGTGTTGATTCGATGCAGCTCGTCACGGGGAGTCTAATGGTGGTCTTTGTTTTGCGCTACGGTGTCTAGAATTGCTAAAAATTGAGTTTGAAAATTTGACGTCATCAATTTTGAACAGTTTTTTCGCTGTAACTTCGCCAAAAAAAGAGGTATCAATCTCAAATTTGGTATGTGGATGGAAGGCGGTAAGGACTATCACATATATTCCGGTTTTTGCGAAATTCAGTAAACTTTTTGGATTTTTTGATGATTATATCCAAAAAAAATAATTTTTAATTTTTGGGGGTCAAAATCCAAAAATTTCAAAAATCCGAGATAGCAGTTTTGTAGCCCTATCAATTCTACAGCTTTTATGTCTCTATCATTTTTCTGTATTTGCAAAGCTATAGGCCTGACAGCTCTTACCGCGAAACCCTTTTTTGGGTCGAAAACGGCAGAACATGACGTCACTCTGACGTCATTTCCGGCCAACCTATCATAGCCTTTGGAAAAATTTTTGGTCACAATGTGTAAAATTGATGTCCGGGAGGGTACTGAAAGTTTGGTGACGATCGGCGCAGCGGTTCTCGAGATATATCGAAAAGTCTGGAGGGGGGGGGGCAAAAAATAGCCCCCCCCCACCAGGTCGCGGGTTAAAAACTCACAGTGCCCTCAAGAATGGAGGACGGACTAAACGTTCGCTCGGTTACAGGCGGAAGTGGCAGAGCCTACAGCCGCTGGTCGATGGCCGAGTAAAACAACAAGAACATTCATCAATTACAATGAAAATTTTGCAAAAAAAGGCTAGATAAGTAAGAAATGACATACTTCACCTGACATCTACCAGCCATATATATTATATATGTGCATGAAATCACCTGGACACGTGACTCGGTAGACTGCCTTTGGAGGGATCCACCCGGATCATCGATCCTTGTTCTCGGTTTTTCGTTCCTGTAGCTGCCGCCGCCACCAAGAAGACCAGACGATGATGACACGAAAGCATCCTGTATTACTCCCCAAGCCAAGATCGGAGCACATACAGGCATGATAAGTGTTCCTGTAAAAGAAACCCAAACAAGATGTAACAGAAATAAACGAAACGGTCACAAGGGGGAATTAACCAAAGATTCAAGCAAACAGAAGCACGCGAACACTCGTTCCAATATGAGAAAAAAAATAATCTTACCATCGGAATGGCTTCACACATCTATCTGGCGGCAGCCGAGCCAACAGGCCGGGGCGCCACGCCGAAGCAGGGCCACTCGGGACCGGCGCCACGCCGAACAGGGCGCCACCAAGACGAACAGGGCGCCACCAAGACGAACAAGGCGCCACGCCGAGCAGGGCGCCACCAAGACGAACAAGGCGCCACGCCGAACAGGGCGCCACCAAGACGAACAGGGCGCCACCAAGACGAACAGGGTGCCACCAAGACGAACAGGGCGCCACCAAGACGAACAAGGCGCCACGCCGAGCAGGGCGCCACCAAGACGAACGAGGCGCCACGCCGAGCAGGGCGCCACCAAGACGAACAAGGCGCCACGCCGAGCAGGGCGCCACCAAGACGAACAAGGCGCCACGCCGAGCAGGGCGCCACCAAGACGAACAAGGCGCCACGCCGAGCAGGGCGCCGCTCCTGGCCACAGGTCGCCTTAAAAGGACTATCCCACCTTTAACATGGGGTTTGAGTTGAGATAGCCAAGTTTGCGGCGAGGTTCAGAAACCACTATCTACCTAGGTTGCAACCCCCGCGGCCTCTTGGTGTTGAAGAAATTCGTTCCCTTCATTTGAAAATGGGCCTTGTACAAGGCCCTATCTTCAACATGGAGCGACCGTTAGTGTGACGTCACCTCGTTTAGTCATTCTGATTTAAATGGGTTTGTTCGTTGAAAAATCGCTTAAAACTTGGTCTGAACTTTGTTGTGGTGCCTACAGAGTAAAAAGAATCAGCTTTATGACAGTAATGTGGCCTGGGGAAGGAGGTAATTTTGGGCAGTGACGTCACATATTTGAAAGTTTGTGTTTGGAATATGGGAAGCCTAAGATGTTTAATGAAAAATAAATGCCAGAACCGTGTTCCTGGTCATCCAATCTATAAAGTCGGGCACAATTTAACTGGTTTTAACATTTTAGAAGGTGGGATAGTCCCTTTAAGGTCGGCACAAACAACAGCCAACGCCGTCCTTCACCGCTGCACATAACCAATAAACCACCACTAAAGGTACCAAGTACCTACCACATCACCTTCGTTCATCGTAAACCAAGAAGGGCCAATAAATACTGAAACTTTCATTACCAAATGGCCACGCTTTACATAACAGAGCCATCACACATATGGGCCAAGAAACATCAGCTTAATTATTACATGTAAACAAACAAAAATTCGTAGTACTTCCAACACTACGCCGACTGCGTCCCCTATTGGAACAACATGTAAGGTCTATTCTGCCACACCGCCGTAGAAGGCGCCACTGCGCCCAATTGTACCAGCGCCGCACACTCGTACGGAACAGCGCCTACAGTTCCTGTGAGATTTTTGATACAGAATACGTTTGGTGTGAGATCCAACGGGATCATGGAGCCCAGCTTGTCGTCTGCTGAAATCGACCCAAATCATAAATCGATTCGTTACATAGATCTCATCTAGGTACGCAAAGTTTGCTGTATAGAAACCATATCAACTCAACCGTTTCAGGAAATAAACTATTGATATAGTGGTCAGCGATTCAAACTAGATTCATTATCAAAGCTATTTTTAACCCGGCAGGCGGTGGGCCTACCAGCCACCTTCCGCGCGGTGGGGGGGGGGGGGGCACTTTTTTGCCCCCCCCCGTATCTCCGAAACTACTGAACGGATCCGGAAAATTCAAACGGCGTTCGATAGCCCTGTCAAATTTGTCTAGGGAAACCAAATTTCATTGACCTCGGGGTCACCGATGACGTCACAGGTCAGGTCAAAGATAAAATGTTTCACCGTTCACGGGGCTTCCAGGGAAAGCGCTATAACACCGAGTAAAACGCATATTGTCGAAAATCAGCGATAAGGCGTCAGTTGTCTAGTACATATGTTGCTATTAGAGGTCACTGGTCATACCAGGTCAGGTCACAGGTCAGGTCACCAAAGGTCACCAAGGTCACCACTTGAGCCCAACTTTACTAAGGTTATGCGATGCATGTTTCATGGCCAGTTTTTCATTTCCAACTCAATGGTGTTGGTTATAAGACCATCAGGTACGGTTTAGGTCACTTTCTGGTGGAGGTCAGGTCAAGGTCAGGTCAAAAAAGGTCAAATTTCAAAGTTGATATTTTTGCATAAAATGGGTATCTATTCGATGCAGCTCGTCACGGGGAGTCTAATGGTGGTCTTTGTTTTGCGCTACGAGGTCTAGAAGTGCTAAAAATTGAGTTTGAAAATTTGACGTAATCAATTTTGAACAGTTTTTTCGCTATAACTTGGCCAAAAAAAGAGGTATCGATCTCAAATTTAGTATGTAGATAGAAGGCGGTAGGGGCTATCACATATATTCCGGTTTTTTCGAAATTCAAAAAACTTATTGGATTTTTTGGCTTTTATATTCAAAAAATCTATTTTTTGATTTTTGGGGGTCAAAATCCAAAAAAATCGAAAAACCGAAATAGCAGTTTTGTAGCCCTTTAAATTCCACACCTTTTATGTCTGAAACATTTTTCTGTATCTCTAAAGCTGTAGGCCTGACAGCTCTTCCCGCGAAACCTTTTTTTGGGTCAAAAATGGCAAAAATGACGTCACTCTGACGTCATTAGCGGCCAACCTATCATAGCCTTTGGAAAAATTTTTAGTCACCATGTGCGCTAGCTGCTCCCGGGAGGGTACTGAAAGTTTGGTGACGATCGGCGCAGCGGTTCTTGAGATATATCGAAAAAACTAAAAGGGGGCAAAAAAATGCCCCCCCACCGCCTGGAAGGTTAACACACATCCACAGTCGAATTTCCAGTAAATTAACCCGCGCCCCACTGGGGGGAGGGCTATTTATAGCCCCCCTCCTGTTTTTCTGCAATAACTTCCAAACTGCTTGACGTATCGACGCCAAACTTTCAGTACCTTCAGCTGCATCAATTTGACACCTTGTGTCAAAATTTTAACTTCGTAGCTACCATAGGTCGGCCGGAAATGACGTCAGAGTGACGTCATGTTCGGCCGATTTCGACGCAAAACATTGAACCACGGCAATCGCTCCCAAGAGCTCAGTTTTTAACCCGGCCGGGCCCGGGGGGTAATCCCAACCACCGCAGCCCGGGGGGGGGCGTTTTTCGCCCCCTGTCTAACTCCGTAAATAAGGGAGCTACGGAAACAAAAGCGATACCAAACGAAAGGTTCTTACGAGACGATTCTAAAGCACCTAAAATTTTTGACCTCAGGTCAATTTTCAAGGTCAGAGGTCAAGGTCAAAGGCAAAAACCGGCACTTGCGTAGTGATCTCAAAGTAAGCCTTCTAGAGGACGGCAGGCTGCATCAAACCGACAAAATTGGGTGTCAAACGAAAGAAGAGAATCTGAGGATTCCGCAACTGTGCTCAAAACAAAAGGTCAAGGTCAAGGTCACGCTCAAAATTGACCTTAAAATTTGCACTTTTTCGCACATCTTTCGTGCTAACTTCCAAGATGTTTTGAAATGTTTTGAGGCTTATCAGTTCCCTATTTGTGGTTCATCTTACAATACAAGGCTGCTCAAAGGTCAAGGTCACAGAACAGTATCCCTGCTAGAGGCTATTTCACTAATTTAAGTTAGTAATAGTAAATAAGAGAATTTTGTCATCCGGAAGCTCTAAATGAAGGCTTAGAGGAAAATAGATGCCAGATTCGTGATCAGCGGATACAAATCCATCATAAACGACCTTTCATGTGTCAAGGTCAACCAGAGGTCATTCGAAGTCACATGAGGTCAACATAAAATTTGACCTTTTCCGAACAAAATATATATCATTCGACGCGGCTTGACAAGGCGAATGCGATGGTACCACTGCCGTAGCTCTAGGACCATTTTTAGCGAAGTTATTTGCGAAAAACTAAAACCACATTTCGGGGTCGTTGACCTGACCTCTGACCTCAGGTCACCAAAACTTTTTTTCTATTTTTCTCTAGGTCAAACGCTACACAACCGTGCTCGTAATTTGTCTTTATCTCTAAAACTCTATTTTTGGCAGCTATTTGAAGTTTGCGTCTGACGCCGAAGTTTGCCGTGCAGGGGTCTAGAAAAATGGACCTTGTGACGTCATCAAGGGGGCTAGGTCCAAATTTTTTACTTCAGAAGATGTCAAATTGATGGGAGAAAAGGTACTGAAAGTTTCGCTTTCCTATCCCTAAGCGTTCGGGAGCTATCGCAAATATTCGCCCGGGGGGGGGGGCGAAAAACGCCCCCCGGGCCCGCGAGGGTTAAGCTAGATCCAATTTCTTTGCATGAGAGGACTCAGAATAGACTGCGCTATCAAAATGCTATCTCGGATTTGCGAAATTTTGAAAATTTCGAAAATTTGATATAATGAAATCCAAAATTTATATTTTTACATTTTTTTCAAAAAGTTTTTGACTTTTCGAAAAAACCGGAATATATGTGATAGAACGCATTATTATGACTAACTCTAGCAAGTTTTAGCTAAATATCTTAAAAAATGGCCAAGTTTTACGCATTATTGCAAAAAATTCACAATTATTAATTTTTCAATGTAATTTTTCAGCACGTATTTGACATCGTACGCCAATATAAATAGCACCATCGTGTTCCTGAGCTCAAACTGCATCCAATAGACACCTTTTTGTTGAAAAATTTAAACTTCAAAATTTGACCTTTTTTGACCTGAAAGTGACGTGACCTAAGCTAAATTCGACTAAAAATGACCTCGAATGACACAGACGACATCGCATTCGAAATCTCTGGCCTAAATGGACCATAAAACATGTGTCACGTGACCGACGCATGATATAATATTTCCGTGACCTGTGATTACCTGACCTTTACCTGAAAATCAAAGTACAAGTTTGGTACCCTCGGGGTATCTAGAGCATCTGTTCACGAGTGTGTGATCCAAAAATGAGCCTGATCTGACTTGTAAGACGGCGACCAGAGCCCAAAACTTGAACAAGCAAAATGCTAATAATTTTTACTTTGACCTGACCTGTCACGTCATCGGTGACTTCGAGGTCAATGAAATTAGGTTTCGCTCGACAGTTTTTCCGGGGCTATCAGACGCCGTTTGAATTTTGACGATCGGCCCAGTAGTTTCGGAGTTAGGAGGGGGGGGGGCTATGAATAGCCCCCCCCCCCCCCCCCCCCCAGTAGGGCGTGTTATACGCAGACCCCAGTGGGGCGCGGGTTAACGGCGTCTTTGATGGGTGACATTTTTAAGCTGACATTTTCATAGTATTGAGCGTACCATCTTTTGCCATGCACACAGCACATCCTAAACTGACAAGAACCCGGTGTTTCGTGGTGGCGTGGGTAAGAAGGGAAAGGAACACGAATTGAACCACGGTTTATTTATTTAACGAAACTGACAACTCTCTCAAACAGTCCCGCCGATAATACATTGACACCAGTAGCTGCCGAGATATACGATAGCAAACAAACGGTACTCAAATAATTAACTGATATAAATAGTCGTATTTACACCTATTTACATTGCGCGCGTATTTCATATAATGGTGTAACGATATCCCGTGTTAAAAATAGAGAGGAAAGGATGCACACAACCGCTACGCTTAAATACAATATTTCAAATACCTTTTTTACAATTCATAAACCAACGTCGCAATATGTCAGTACACGCCAACGCACCATCGTTCGTAACTCTACTAATTTTCATCAAACCACAGGATGCAATACCGACAAAGAAAATAAGTTACTTTGCCAGTCCGACCACTTTTCTCTCACCATGTAGACTTTGTGTATAGTGCGTCCTAAATGTCGCAAATCTCCAAGTATTTTTAGTGATTTCTCTAAATATGTCCTACATAGTTCAGTGATCAGCTCAGTGACTTTTTATGGAATATGTCACTATTCGGCGAGTCATCACCAAACACACATGTCTGCAATCATGTCAGCAGTGTCTGAGACCTGTCCTCAAACTAGACACTGAGAAGACACGTCATCGAGTCTCGTCTTGGCACCACCGCTATCCCTGATATCACGTGCTTCGACCGCCTCTGTAGCATCGCCACCCACGTGACCATCACGTGACCCGCCATAGGTCAAAGCACGGTGATCACATGGCACTGACAAACAGCCGTCAGGTAAGTCACGTGACAGATACCCACTGCAACACACGTTGGAGCTCAACAAGTAAGGTGGTGGTGAAGATTCACCACAAGATCACGTGATCAATTCGAGGTCGCATGACTTTCCAGTCCACCAAGCGCACTGCAGCTGCTCACCAAACAGCTCGAGGTCACGTGACCCGTACCGTCAAGGGAGCTTTAGTCATGTGACATGCGCTCCGTTAGAGCTCCACAGCTCGGGGTCATGCGACCTGTGCCGCCACCGACGCGTGTGTCACGTGACGTGTGCTGGGTTACAGCTGCTCGAACAGCTCGGAGATGTGGTAGCGGTCACGTGACGTGTGCTGGGTTACAGCTGCTCGAACAGCTCGGAGATGTGGTAGCGGTCACGTGACGTGTGCTGGGTTACAGCTCGGAGATGTGGTAGCGGTCACGTGACGTGTGCTGGGTTACAGCTGCTCGAACAGCTCGGAGATGTGGTAGCGCTCCGTTCTGAAGTCGGTGGAGCTGGCGGCCGCCGGCGGTGTGATGTCGGGTGAGCGCAGCCACAGACCTGGGGGCAGACAGGGGTCAGAGGTCAGAAAACAGGGGTCAGAGGTCAGAAAACGGGGGTCAGAGGTCAGAAAACAGGGGTCAGGTGTCAGAAAACAGGGGCCAGAGGTCAGGGATGGAAGCCACAGGCCTGGGGCAAACAGGGGTCAGAGGTCAGAAAACGGGGGTCAGAGGTCAGGGACCGCAGCCACAGGCCTGGGGCAAACAGGGGTCAGAGGTCAGAAAACAGGGGTCAGGGGTCAGAAAATAGGGATCAGGGGTCAGAAAACAGGGGTCAGAGGTCAGAACACAGGGGTCAGAGGTCAGAGCAGGGGGTCAGCAGTCAGCACTCAGAAAACAGAGGTCAGAGCGAGGTAAAAAACATGAGTGAAAGATCAGGGACCGCAGTCACACGTCAGAAAACAAATGTGAGAGGTCAGGAAAAGGTGACCTGGGGCAGACAAGGGGCAGGGGTCAAAGTAAAAGATAGGTAAAATTTCAGCAAGCATGGGTCACAGGCCAGAAAATATTTGTCATAGTTCCGAAAACAGGGATTTAGGGTTACGGGCCCTTGCCACAACTCCTAGAAAAATAGGATACAAAGACAAAGATCATGGGTCAGATCAGAAGTCTGAAGCTTTAGGTCAGAGGAGGGAGATCGTCATTCATAAATAACAAATCACATGTTAGTATCGAGACGCAAAATGTCATATGTCAAGCTATCAAAAGTCAAAACTAGAAGATAGAGATGATTGATGGCCAGGAGACGGCTGTTCCGCGCTTCTGAGGTCGGAGGTCACCAGACAAAACTGATGAGGTCACGGAGGTCACCAGATAGAACTGATGAGTCTGATGACAAGGATTACCTAAATGCAGACGACATAGGTGATAGGTGAGAACACAGAGGCCAGTGGAGGGATAGTATTGTTAGTGGTAGATCAGTCTACCCCTCATCCCTCTCGTCATCTCCCCCCAGCTCCGCCGCCCTCACCTGGTGCCGTGGTTCCTTCCGTCTGGATGTTGGGAACAGCAGCGGCCTGCGCTGCCGGCAGCGCCACCGACATCACCATCAGCAGCACCATCAGTAGCATCAGCGGCAGCATCATCAGCGGCGACGACCGCGGCAGAAGCGGCGACAGCGGCGGCGGCGACAGGCTTCGACACCGCCATCGCGTCTGTCCCTGCCCAGAAACACAGAGAAACACCGGGACTGTGAGGGGTTTCACATACAGGTGCTCTGATCATTACAGAAGCTCTAGATGTTCTACAGAAGCTCTAAGAAGGCCCTAGGATCCTTAAATTTTACCATTTTATTATACCGGTGTTACTGAGTGCTGTACAATGTACATTTTCATTGTTGCTGTGTAAGTACCTTTAGAGATTGATAACTAATTGCCGATGGATATGAATGGGTTCTGAGTGCCGAGTGCCGACACATGAAGAATATCCGGATGTGTGAGCATAGTTGCTGCATCATATAGACAATCAGTTATGGTGAAATGTAATGGTGAAGTGACGCCATTCGAGGAATATTTTGATATATAATGTCTTAGTTTCGATGACAACTTTTAAAAGCCTCGGCGTCGGGCGTAAATTAGTCTAAATCTCGCAATAGCTTCAAATCAGCTTGCCTTATCGTTTCTGCTTTCACGGGTGGAGAATGTTTGAAAAAGTTACCCCGGCCGGCGACCGAAAGTCAGAAAGACGATGATGCTCAAATATTTGTCAACGGTTATCAACAAACCCCTATTCTGTGGCATATATGCCATTCTATAGAATAATGGATGTCTGCCGTTTGTACGTTTTTAGGGAAAACTGCTGCACGCAGGTGCGGAAGATTTCGTAATTGTAACAACAATTTTGCAACACGCCTTAAAATTTCGGACGCATGTCACCTAGTGCTAGGTCAGGTCATCAGGTCAAATTTGCTGGATGATCGTGCTAAAAATGCCATCATGCCCTTTTCAAAGCTTATTCCGTGGAAGTTGCAACCTTCCCACACAAAACAAAATGTCAAATTTGACCGTTTTGACCCTCTCATTGATTTGAGCTCGCACCTGAAATATTATTCGCGACCGAGCCTTAAACGAGTAATCGAATGTTTTGTTTGCAGTGTTTAAGCTCCGTTATGCTCATGAACTGTGAGGAAAGTTGTCGGAGAACGCTAAAATCAGAGAAATTTGGCTTTTGATGATCTATGGTGAGTTTATTATTGAGCTTGCCTAAAACATGACCAGATTTCTCTGGTCACGTTTGTCGCTCTTTCAAACGTCGTTCCGCTTCTCGCCTCGTAGCCCAGTAGCCGAGTTAGAAGGAGCGTGAAAAGCCCACCTCTCGACTCAACGTGTTACGATAAGGCCACCACCCTGGCGCGGGTTAGGTTGGGGGAGCCTTGAGCCCCAGCAGCTCGTCCTTCTATCTCACTGATATTACCCTCGTCCTGTCTTGTGATGTTATTACAGTGCCATCTTACGATAACGGCCCTTAAATATGATTTACTTCTGTTTGATGAAACATGTCGGGCTCCGCGACTTAGAAACATAGAAGCTCCAAAATGAAAATAAAGCAAATTTTCCAGAACTGTTCAAAGTTGATAAGAATAATGAGAGACGCTTTTATAGATGGCAGTTTTTTCATATGGAGATAGCTTTTAGGATTTACAAAAGTGGAAAAAGTTACCCCGGCCGCGCCGGGGTCGGCTGAAAGTTACCCCGGCCACGGCCGGGGTGGCCAGGGCACGTTCTCCACCCATGTCTGCTTTATATGGACAGAACATTTGAGAGGTGCTTCATTCAAGTCATTATATTGCATAATTACAGCAGATCAAAATTACTTTTGGTTAATTGGCAACTTGTAGGTACATTCTGTCAGTTATCTACGATTCCTAGACAAGGCTATTATTTTGGCAATTATTGATGTCAACTCAGCTGCGCTGGTTTTCAAGGCAATTGTAGGATACTGACAGCAGGCATTGCTGGGAATTCCCCTCACCCCGTCGTATACACCTTTCTGAAAATATCAAACAACTGACTTCTCACTGTAACATGTGTTCAGTGTTGCCATAAGGAGGGACGCCTGAGCGCTGTGTGACGAGCTTGGAATCTATTTTGATGATAGCTGCGTCGTCTGATATATAAAAAGCCATTCATAAAAGCATTAAATTGAGTCATCTCTTTAGCAGCAGGCCTGCACTAATGCATGAATCGTCCCATAGAGATCAGTATCCCCAATATCTGTGCAGCCGTCATTACCGAGTCCCGGTCTCTGAGTGCTGGATAGAAACACGTGAAACAATAATGTTCTGTTCAGTCTCTCAGACATTGAGATGGTAACAATGTGTCGCTAGGGGTAACTGCAACCGGTCGACATTCCTCGCGCAACGTCCGTTGGCGACCATCGGTATCCCCTGATATTCCTGATTTTCCGAGCTGTTGTCGCGATCTTTCCCTATCCCTCGTTCCGATTTCCCATACTATTGATATAAATTTCCCGAGTTTACTGATATCTGCGATATTCCGTCTATCCCATCGCCCTCTACTATCCACCCTATCCCCCACTATCCGCCCTATCCCATCCCCGCTGATCGTTATCCCCAATATCCCCTGAATCCCCTGTCTCCCCGATCTATAGCTGCCCCCCCATACCGGGCAGGAATGCGGTCCGCCCCCCTGCACCGGCCCGGGGGGGGGGGGGTGACATTGAGGCCGTGTTCCACTCCTTCGCCCGTCCTCGATACAGTGGTGATAGCCACTCCCAGATCGGTGATAGCCACTCCTCGATCAGTGACGGACATCAGATTCAGCGCCACTGTGTGCTGACTAGCAGCGATATACACTGGCCAGCCACCGGCATCAGCAGCGACTGTATAGTGGACTGGACATTAGCAGCGACTGTACATATAGTGGACTGGATATCAGCAGCGACTGTATAGTGGACTGGACATCAGCAGCGACTGTATAGTGGACTGGACATTAGCAGCGACTGTACATATAGTGGACTGGATATCAGCGGCGACTGTATAGTGGTCTGGACATCAGCAGCGACTGTATAGTAGACTGGACATCAGCCGCGACTGTATGGTGGACTGGACATCAGCAGCGACTGTATAGTAGACTGGACATCAGCAGCGACTGTATAGTGGTCTGGACATCAGCGGCGACTGTATGGTGGACTGGACATTAGCAGTGACTGTATAGTACCTGGCCATTAGCCGACTAGACCGACCAACTGCTGTCGTCGCGACTATACGATATGCTCGCCGGCAACCGACATTTTTTTTTGCGGCAGGGGAGGGATTGGTGGCAACTAGCCGGCGTAGACATCCGCAACAGTCTGGGCTACAGCTGATCGTCAAAAACTAGCTGCTGTGATGGAATCTCTGACCTCACTGATCAGTGATCACTTAGTCACTGATGGAGCCATTGCCATTACTGATCAGTGATCACTTAGTCACTGATGGAGCCATTGCCATTACTGATCAGTGATCACATAGTCACTGGAGGAGTCACTGTGCCACTATACCATTGACACAAAAGTATGACGCTCAAATTTGGTACACGGTGGGGGATCAGCGAGGAGAGTGCCGTGCAAAATTCAGTCGGGAGTTCGGGACCCAGTTTGCGCGTGCACACGTGCAGGGTGCCTCTTCCACATCTCAAGAACGGCTTGGCCGATTGCGCTCAAATTGTGCACACCGCTAGGCAGCGGTTGGTAGGGCGCCCTCCAGCAATTAACGTACACAGCAAAGCAGCGACTACTGACTGATAGCTCACTGTCAGAAGAAATTATGATCGACGATTATATCTTAGTGAGGTTATGCCGTATATTGCAGTTCATGTATGTAAATCAACGCGTGATTCTGCCCGTTATCCATTGCCAAAGTTGCAGCCTGGATCCGCCTATGCGACCGATGCATTGGCAGCCTCGATCCGCCTATGCGACCGTTGCATTCGCAACAACCTGGATCCGCCTCTGTGACTGTTGCATAAGTTGAGCAGGTATGACGTCTTCCCATATATTTTTATTGGTTTGCGGGCCTGGTTCGACACGCGACCGAGACAGCCTGGCCCACCACAGACGGCACCCACTGGCCAGGTGCTGAGCGGCCACAGGAAGAGCTTTGGGTCGGAGCTGCTTCGAGCCAGGTGCACGCAACTTATGGCACTTTGCAACAGGTGTGCTCTGCTTCAGGGAAAAGTGCCACTCTTTCAGAGATCGGCAGAGTACCAACATGCAACACGTTTTCAGAGTAAAGCTTGTGCATCGGTTTGTTGGGAGGTTTACATTATATTATTTCTTGAGGATTATCTGAGACTGCACGTACGCAAAAACATAGTGCTGTAGACAGTCAGGTCTTTTGTTTACATGTCAATGGCCCGCCATAGAATAGTTCTCATATAGTAAATCTCGCACCCCTATTGTTTTTTACTCTTGATACAAGTGTGACAATTTTTCCGACCATTAGTACCTAATAATACGAAGATGTTAATTACTGAACAAACGGAATTACTATTGGAGACACGAGTCTCGTCTAACATGTTGACTAAAATCCAAAGAATCTAGGGCAGCTATCAATTTGTCCGACACTTAGTCCAAGTCAGTCTAACTACATAAACTGTAATCGAATCCAATACACAAGAAAACTGTAGCCCTATGCCGGCGCAGAGGAAGACTGTAACTACTTGTATGAGTGGGCGTACGACAAGAATTTCAATATACGTCCGCGGCGTGCAGCGAGGGCATGTTTGGCATAGTTCTAGAAATCCCAGCCAATCACCGGCGCCTCCCAGACGATCTGACCGGAAGTCACCCCCCCTCTCCCTCACACCCTCCCCTCCGACAATGAATGAGGTGGGGCGATAATTACCACCTCAGCCCACCCTTCAGCAATGAATGAGTCACAAGTAATCGCCCCTGGCGGCCCCACCTTTCAATAGCGGAGGCGGCCAACCACTAATCCCACGTGCCCCGCCCCACAATGAACATTCCTCGGACGGCGGCCTGCAGACACCTCTCTGCGCGGCGGTAAATTACCGAGCTGGTAATTACCGTCCGTGGTGACTGGTAATTACCACCCTGTACGTCCGACCGTGGTGGATGGAGGCATTCCTGAGACATACCGGGGACGCAGCGGGCACGTGCGGCACATACCGGATCACGTATAGACGCTCCCCCCTCCCCA